ATTTATTTAGTTTGTACAAAATATTATATATATATATATATATATATATATATTATACATTATTATTAGTATTCTAGTATTAATTACATAATTAACAATAGGTGATTAGGTTCTAATTTTGGCATTCAGGCTTCAAATGCAATTAATTTGTAATATAACAAGCTCAAGCCAAACCGCATTATTCATTGATTGAATTTGGCCCAAACGCATTACTGATACTTGAATCAGTATGCAGTATGTTTGATTTAAATATTTAAATTGATAGTTTTAACCGAACCAGCAACTGTTAAGTTTATTTCTTTTCTGTTTCATCTTAATTTTTGTTCCGATCCCGGTGTCTCGTCCCAGATCGGTTTATAAAAGCGGGACGAGACAAAATGCAATTTCGATGTAATCATACCATTATTACGAGAACTTCTATGATCTTCTTTTTTCGACCAAAATATATTTTGGAAAAAATGCAATTTCGATGTACTAACTTTAGTTTTAAATTTTTGTTCACTAACCTTTGGATATTGTAATGTGGTGCATTAACTTTTGTTTTGTATCAATTTCGAGACCAAAAAAATGCATAAGTTTTAAACTGACAATCTCGTTAATTATTACGAACATAAAACTTGAAATAAAGTGGACAAAGAGCTTTATAGTCATTTTTATATCTAGCATATGTTTTGATTTTGGTCTTTTAAAATGATCGTTATTTTTTATTGTTTGTTTATCTCGTTACTTAGAAAATAAATAAATAAATACAAAACAGAGCTTTGGCTTATCTCAAATAAACCAGTTATTTTTTGCCCATAATTTTTTTACAATTTTATTCAAACTCAAATTTATCTCAAATCAATTCTTCCAATTTTACCAGTACAATTAAATAACGGCAAAATTTCAAAATTGGTCCTATAACTTGGCCACTGTCCAAAAAACCACCCCGATATTGACCACTTTCAATTTAGGTCCTATAATTTGTCGATTTCATCAATTTTGGTCCTTTTTTATCCGTCCCTGGATTACAAAGTGACGTGGCATGACGTGTCAGTTTTTCAATGTTATATGGCGTGATTATGATCTACGTGGCACGTCAATTTTGGTCCTATAATTTGACGATTTCATCAATTTTGGTCCTTTTTTCATGCCACGTCACTTTTTAATCCAAGGTGCGGATAAAAAAGGACCAAAATTGATGAAATCTACAAATTATAGGACCTAAATTGAAAGTGGTCAATATCGGGGTGGTTTTTTGGACAGTGGCCAAATTATAGGACCAATTTTGAAATTTTCCCATTAAATAACATATAACAATTCATCATTCTCACACATCACATTATTGATCTACTCGTATAATCTTAACTACCAATAATTTTCAATAATCTATCTTCTTAGTTTTACATCACATCAGTCGTCAACTTTGATCATTTTATTTTAAATATTATTTAAATACAAACTAAATATTCTATTCAAATCTCCACTCAATCATTTTTTTTTTCAAAATTAACTCACTTTATCCAATAAATCCAATTAAAAAAACTCTCAATCACCACCTAACTATTTCACTCTTAATCTAACACTCTTGAGATTTAGTCATCTAAATGCACATTTTTATATTTAGTCATTTTGCTAAAAAAAAATTATTTTTAATCCTGCTACCAATTACCAACAATAAATATTAAATTACTTATCGATTACCGGTCGAATTAGTTTATTATAAAGACAACAACAAAATTTTCAATATAACACATAATACATATACAAATAAGCTTTAAATTTGTCGATGCCTGAAGGTCTATCGATTGAGTAGTGTTTATTGTGTTTTTGTGCTTATTTTCGTGTATTTTATATGCTTGATTTTAGTGTTTTTAGGTCCGTTTTAGTGTCGACCGGTCCATTTTATCGTGTTTTGCGCATTTTTATTCTCGTATTGCGTTTTTGTGGTTCGGCGTACTTTTCTTGTCTTTTTGGTGTTGAACAGGTCCATCATTACTGTGCTTGGAGAAAGGAGCCATTTCCGAGATATTTCCGAGTGTCCGAACCATGTCCTAGCCGCGCGAACCATTTCCGTGCCGTTCCGAGAATATTTGTTAATTTCTTGGTGACACCCATTTATACATCTCAAGACGTGGAGAAGAAGATTTGATAAGCGTGGGTCAAAGTTTCGAGTCAATCGGAGAAGCGTGCGAGAAGTTAGAGTGAATCAAGCATCGAGAGGTCACCCGGACCAAGCTACTTTCAGCAATCACGAGCCGCGCCTGCGAGTCGCCCAATGCCGCGAGTCTCTGCACCCGCGCCCGTGAACGCCCCGATGCTCGCGAGTGTCCGCGCCATGCTGCCGAGTGCCCGCGAGTTTCATTCTCCGCGCCCGCGAAGTCTAGCCCTGCCCGCGAGTCCCAGTTCATGCTCGCCTTGCCCGCGAGTTTCATGCTCTGCGCCTGCGAACTATGATCTCCCGGGAGTCCTAGCTATATGACGCACTCTTGCCCGCGAGTTTTCCTGTGCCGCGCCTGCGAACGACGCCTAGGCCGCGAGTCCGCGCCTACTCCAAGCCACACTTGCGCTCGTGAAAATCAACCTGTTGCTCGCGAAATCGACCTAACCTGTGAGTTTTCCTCACTAAATGTGTGTGTTTTTAGTGTGTGTTTGTGGTGTAGCTAAAAATAGACATTATGCTTTGTAATTTTGGACATCACCCCTCATTTCCCAACTTTTAAGTTGGGTAATCCTCTCCATTTTCTCTCTTTTATTTTTATGCTTTGATTTGGAGGTTAATAACTCATTTTTCCGGCGAAATTCTGGAAAGCTTATTTTTATCCAAGTTTCGAGCTTTATTCATTATTTTCGTCCGGACACGCAATAAGAGAGTAAGTACCTTACTTAGGACTTACTACTTCGAGTTTATTTTTCGAGTTTTGTGTTTATGCTCGTTTCTAGGTTTTTACTTTATTTTTATTGCTTGCTTACGTGTGTTAGGAATCAATACGTGTTTATCTAGTATAAAGGTCTCGACTTTGTTCAAAGCTTGATGATTTGCTGTAGAAAGCTCATGTTATACCTACGATCACTATGCTCGCATGTTTTCTCTTATTTTCCTTTATTTTCTCGAGTTATAGAGACTCCGTGCAACCAATGTTTTGATCTTTCTTTCGATTCTTACATCGTTCATCATTTGCTCTTAGATTAGTAGTTTAATTTCGTGCAATCATCCCCAATCAAGCGAGTAGAATGTGTATGACCTTATTTTTGGTTATGTGACTAGGAAGTGAACGAAGCTCCGAATTGTCTTCCTTTGAGAATGACCCGAGGTCGGGTAGCTTAGTTACCACTTACCCAAAAATACTACAAACAGGTAGACGTTGCTAACAACGGGAGTGATATGAGATACCATACTAGGTCGAGTACGAGTTAAATGACGGCATGGTCAGTTTGAGCCAATTGGTAGGTCGACTGGACATCAAAGACACTTGAGCTAGAGCTCTCGGCTGGACTTATGAAAACTCGACCTGGAGGCTTGCAGATGTACGGCCTGATGAGATAGACCTAGTCGAAGAAGGTCGGAGCAACTTGGTCCAGAGGAATCCAAGCTGGTAGCAAACTTAGACCACCTACTGAGGTAGATTAATGTGAACATACCACATAAGAGATAAGAAAGAATATAATCAAGATAAGAAGAACACGTGGGCAGAGTACTTGGCCTAACAGAATGTGGCAGTTTGGGCAACCAGGCAATACGAACGGGTAGCTCGAACAGTCGGGTAGTCTAGATGGACAGTTTTGAACAACAAGGTAATTAACACTCTTATATAAAGGGGTGACATGGATAATCACTTTTACTCTACATATTCTAGTATAGTTACAAGCTATGTACGCTTCACTGACTTAAGCGTCAGAGTTTCTATGCTGGGACAGCTCTCGACGCTGTTTTGCTGGACTTTGAACCGGTTGAGAACGGTCCATGGTCGTTCGAATCGGTTGAAGTCGCTTAGGAAGATAAATCTCTACGAGGTGACATGATATATAACGTATGTGATTCATTATGCGATCTCCGTCCTTTATCCAAACCATCAATCGAGGCCGTCCGAACCGAATCATCGGTTCAATAGTTCAATATACTTCAATGCAAAACACGAACACCAGGGGCGGATCTAGCTTATAAAATGAATGCGGGCCTACTTGTTTCTTGAAAAAAAAATATATAATACATCATAACAAAGTATAAATACAGAAATACATATTCATATAAATTCTTATGAATTTCTATAGTTTGGTATGACTTTATAATAACGTCTTTACATTTTCTGTCGGCCTAACAATTTTATAATTCACCTCAAGTATATTTGGACTAAACATTGCTAATTTTGAAATATTTTCACACGCACTTTTTTGTCAAGACTATTTATAAACATATAGTCCATAATTTGATATAAAAAAATTATAATGTATAAAATGTTTTATCTAATATATCAAACTTGTAAGAGCTAAAAAAAATTATAATGTATAAAATGCTTTATCTAATATATCAAACATGTAAGAACCCTACAAGTTATTAGTTACACACAAATTTAAATATGTAAATAATCTTTTAAGAAACAACATTTAATTAACTATAAGTTTAAATTTTTATACCAAATGTAATAAAAATAGATTTACTTTCGCCAAAATAAACAAGAAAAGTGATTTCTTTTCCTCATTGTCTTTTTTTCTCCCTTCTTTGTGTTCCCATTGTTTTTTTTTTCTTTTTAATTTTATCAATGGAGTATGAAACTATATTTTGAGCAAAGTATATAAGATAATATTTTTTTTTCAGTGTGGGCCAAAGGCTCCTCCCCTAACGAACACGATGTATTTATAATTT